GGGTGCTGGGTGGCCACCTTGTGCGAAGCCCCTTTCCCCCAGGCCTCTGAACAGCGATTGCTCTGACACCAGCTTGCCTGGGACGCAGGATAGGCACCGCCAGCCCAGATGCGGCTTATTTCAATAAAGGCTGCGCCGTTTTGGCCCCCCCGGCTCTGGGCTGCTGCATGCAACGCACGGGCCGTCCGCCTGCCTTGTGCGTGTGTGCAGGGCCCACAGCCTCCGGCGCGGCCACGCTGCCTGGGGTGATGGGGTGCCGCGGGAGGAGCACAGCGCAGCCCACGGGAGGCTTCGGTGGTAATAGCCCCTCCGCGCCCCGAGCCAGTGGTGTCCCTGTGCAGTTCCGTCACTGGTCGGTTCAAGTGTGGAGTCCTGCCTAGCGAAGGGCATCTGCTTTGATTTCATGGGGGTTCGGGGAGTTAAGTAGTGTTTAGTAGAGGAATGTCGCAGGCTGATGCACGTAGCCACGAGCATGTCTTTGGTAGTGACTGCTTTGCTCTGTGAGTAGTTCCGCAGTAGCTTTAGCGACCCGAGGAGAAAGGCAAAGCAGAGGCGATGATAGAGTAACGCTTGCCGGCTGAGCTACGCCCGCGGTCATGAACCACAGAACTGGTAGGACCCTTGCTGGCTTCATCTGTTTGTCCGACTGCCATAGACCAGCGGCGGTCCCTGGGGCCGGTACAAGGCAGATGCTGCTCCAGGTCAACTGGATGGATCTGCTCTGCTCCCTTGGCACCAATCGCAGAAGGCCCTTGGACGCCAGCGGTGCTGCCATGCTGTGTTTTGTGGCAGTTGGGTCTGACGCTGAGGCCAAGGCAAGAGAACAATCTGCATCAGCTCTGCCACCGTTAGCAGCTTGCAAAGCTGAACTCCAAGCTCAATGCTTTTGTTGAAAATGGGTCTCGGGGACTCTTCTGTAAGAGCTGAGCTGGAGCCTTTGGCCACAACGCTTAAAGACACCGGGTCTGTTCAGTGTCTCTGTGCCTGCCACAACAGGAGGTGTCTCAGATCCATGCTCCAAGAGTGCTGACTCCTACGGATGTGTGTCTGGACTGGGAGCTCTTGAGAATTTCGTCTGTCTGTGATGCAGCTGAAACCAAGCCAGATGCTGCCATCATTGCAGACGTGGCTTGGTGACAGCACCCATGGCTTTTAAGAGTTGTAGTGACAGTTAGTGGATGGTCTCACCTCCATGTGGGCAAGGGACTGTTTTTGTGGAGATAAAGGACCTTTAGAGTAGTAGCATCACAGTAGTTAATATGCCCACTCACAGTGCATGGTGGTTATTAATCGTGTTTAGAGGCACCATCAGGGTGCTTGGAGCTGTGTAAGGATAAATGAATTAAAAGCCCTGCTCTAGAGATTTTACAGGCTCAACCCAATCCCTGCTGATGGCATCCAGGTTGGATGGCTAATCCATGGGGTCTCTATGGAAGAGGTTCTGCTTGCCAGGTCTTGGAAAGGCCTCTTGGGAGATGATGGGACAGAAGTTTTGTTACATGAGAACTCAAGAGCGGGTGATTCATTGACTACAGTGAGTTGTTGACACCAAGAGTGGAAGGACACCTGGGTACTGGCAGCACTTGTGCACTTAGCAATGGACTGTTACACTATTCACCACGTGAGCTGTGCACTTCTTTCTTACCCACATGCATTTATACAGCATGCAACTCTTCCATGTCCCATTCAGTCATGAAGCTGACAGCACTTGTGCGTATTAGCTCCACTGTCCCCTGGGGCTGTCCGCTGGGCGTGAAGAGAAGAGCAGCAGCTCACTTTCTGTTGCATACCCCAACCTCGCTGCTCTGGGCAGGAGCTGATTTTTGTAACATCAATTGATTCTCTGTGTGTGCAGTGAATAAAAAGACCATTCTACCTCTGGAAAGAGCCACTGTGGTTTCTCAGACTCTAAATGTTGTAGCAAAAGCCCTCAGACTTTCTATAGTGAAGAAAGGAGGTCACTCAGAAAATACTTCTCCAATGAGATTCTCACAGGACCTGAAGAGTCCAACCTTGTTTCATATTTGGGTATTTCCTCCTTAGACCGAGCCCTGGGAAGCTCAATTCATCTTTGTCATTTTTTCCTCAGGAAAAAAAAATCTATTGTCTTCAGGGAAGGGTTTCACTGAAGTGAAGATATCAAGACCTGGTCCATAGCCGTGTGAGTAAGAGAACACTTACACAGCACAGGGCTGCCAGAGATCCTGATCTTCAGAAAGTCAGTGGAAACCAGAGGCTCTTGAGACCTCTTGTAATCGCGCCATGCTTAGAAACAGTCATATTCCAGCCAGGGCTAAACATCTTTCTGGAAATGGGTCTCAGCTGCAAAGATTAGGTATAATACTGAATTCTCTGTGGCTTTGATTTTGGCCCATCTCTCTTCTGTCCCAGGCTGCTTCAAATTAATCCTCTGATAAAGCACATCTCTTAGGTGATTTGTCTCATCTCCTGCTGCAGGGGATCTAAATAGTAGTTAGCGTACCTTGAGATCTGGGTCAAGTATGCTATGTTACCCCATGCTTCCTTGTCACAGCAGGCTGAGCGTTCCAGGAATGGGAGGACACAAGCATCTCCACCAGACCTCGGGATGCCAAGTGCATTTCAGGAGGTTGGACAAATGCTTGGAAAAGTCATCTTCCAGCTCAGCCTTTGTTGTGCCCTTTGGAGGAGTTAGGTTGGATGTGATACTCAGTAAGGCCACCTCCTGCAGCTGTGTTTTACCTAGGGTTAGGTTTTGCAAAAATTTTAAAAAGTTCTGATCTTGCAGCACACACAGGAAAGGGGTAAGAGCCATTTGCTACTAACTATGCAGTTGAAATCTGAGTGACGGAGGTGGAGGCTCCACACTCAACTGTGATGGAGGCGCATCCACCTTTCTCTTTGTGGATGAGTAAAACCCTGGGTTGGGAAGGACCCATCCCAGTACAAAGTATTGTCAGTACCCACTGTGTCTTTCCTACAGTGAATCACTTGCACTACAGCTGAATGTGTGTCTGTTCCCGTCCTTTGTTTTGTCCTGGGTTTTCTTTGTGAAGTGTATTTGGTCTTGTTCATTAGGCTTCAGTGTAATGTGTGTTTTTAGAGCAATAAAACGTGGCAGCTTTTTATACAAAATATCTGGCTCTGCCTCTTTTAAAGTCCTTAAGTACATGAGACTCATCTGGGAAGCTGCAGACTGCTGTGGTCCCCTTGTCACATTCCTGGTCTGCCTCTCCCACCCCACATGCTTGCAGCTCCCTTCACTGCAAATCAAGGCAACATCTTGCAGTTGGAGGCAAAACTGTTTTATTCTTGCAACTACATAATGAACTTTTGCCAAAACAGCTACAGCTGTTACCTCTGTTCCAGCCAGACATGGGGGCTCCTGGGTGGGTGCTGAGAGAAGGACGTGCGTGGTCTCTTGTCTGCAGCCACACGTTTTATTTTCCAGGACGTCTTTGTCTCCAGCCTGGAGACAGTGCTGGTTACCTGGTTCCATGTCATACTTGGGTTGACATGTTGCCCAGAGAGCAACAGGTAGTGTTGAATGACGGGAAGAGAAGGTAAAGTTCCAGTTGGCAACTTCTACATCCAAAGCAGGACAGTCATTGCTGCCCGTTCCTCTCCCATTGCCTTCGCAGAGAGCTCCAGCCTCCACCTCCAGCAGCACAACAGTTTTCTTTGTTGCCCTTGAGCATGTGGACTGGTAGCCTGGCACGGCTGGCAGATGGCAGCTCCTACCTCATGAACGACCTTCGGCCAGTCCTGAAGAAGGACTCTATCTGTTCCAGGGACCTGCCTTTGGTTTCTGGAACACAGCAACCAGTGAATAAGATGTTCCCAGCACAGATGATGGTGAAGAATAGGAAGGGTACCTCAAGGCCGAAGGCTTCCTGGCAAGTGGGACAGAAAGCAGACGTGAGCTGGGTCAGAGAGGGTCTGAGGAGGGGCTGCCGAACACCCTCCTGGGGCAGTACCCACCACGACCCGGAGGAAGAACTGGGTCAGGATGAAGGCTGTCAGCCAGCTCACGACAACACAGAGGCCCGAGGCCACCCCGCGGGCTTTCAGAGGGAGGATCTCGGACATCAGCAACCAAGTGATGGGGCCCCAGCCCATGGCATAACCTGCAGAGGAGGAGGGGCAAGGTGAGGCTGTTGAGGCTTCAGAGCCCACTGGGGAGCGCAGAAGAGCCCCACGCAAATCTGCCCTGCTCCCACATCAATCATTACTGCCCTGCCACTCATGTTCCTTCAGTCCTCAAAGTGACTTCAGATGTTATCTTTTTTGGTCTTCCAGGAACATCTGCCTGCCTTCCACCTCCAAGCCCAAGTCTCCTTGCTCCGTATCACCCTGCCTCAGATAAGAAACTTTCCCCCAGGCTGGTACCCAGCGCTCTGCACCTACCCATTATGAAGAACATGGTTGCCAGGAGGGGGATGAGGGTGATGTAGTTGGTCGGCGCAGCAGGAAGGTTGGCAAAGCTCGCCAGGGTCTTGTTGGCAATGGTGCTGTTCTGAGAAGCTGGCACAAAATGGATATAGAGCCCCATGGTCAGATTGGAGACCAACATGACACCGGCTGTGGAGAGATGCAACAGCACAGCAGGACTGATTGGTGAGTGATCTCCTCCATGCCAGGGGCTGAGCTCCCACCAAAGGAAAGAAACCCCCTCTCCCTGCCTGAGTCCTCCGTGGCTGGAGTTTCCACTCCTGCACATTTGCAGAGCTCCTGGAAGTCCTTAAATATGAGCTTCCCTTGCACAATGGTGGGAGAGACATACCCGATACAAAAAGAAGAATCTTCCTCCCAGCTTTATCCATCGACACAGCAGCGATTGCCACTGAGAACAGACGTACCAAGCCAACAAGAGCTGCATCGTACTCTGGTTTCTGCAACAGCAAAAGCAGTGGGGAAGCTGAGATGGGAAAGCCAGGGAGAGCTGCCGGGGACTTGGAGCATCGGGCAGCCATCACTGAAGACAAGGCAGTCCGAGCATGGGCCGGACCCCAGGGCTCACCAGGATGACGGACGTTTTCTTGAATATTGACTGCAGATACACAAGGACACAGGTGACACCGGAGAGCTGCTGCAGGAACCTCATCCCCACCGCGATCAGAATAGGCTTGTAAATGAAGGGGTCTTTGATCTCGGCACAGGAAACCCGCTGGCTCTGGAGGGGACAAAGCCAGAAAGCCGAGGTGTTACCACCTTGGGGCACCCGCCACCACGGCACCCAGAAGATGGCTCAAGAGTTGCCCAAAGGAGGCTGGATTTTGCAATTTTCACATTACATCTCCCCTCTGCTGGAGGTGAGCCCCGTCCCCTCCTCACCTGCTTCCTCACGCTGTCCTTGATCTGCTCATACTCGCGGGCGTAGTCCGTGTCCTTGCCCCGCAGCCAGCACAGTGACCCCAGGGCCTCCTCATCCTTCTCCTGGGAGAGCAGGAACCGGGGCGAGTTGGGCACGAAGCAGAGCAGGACGATCATGGCGAGCACAGGCACCTCCCCTGCGACGGCCAGCCAGCGCCAGTCCAGGACCAGACCTGCCCGAGCAGCACGGTTAGGAGGGGACTCCGGGCCTTGCCGCCACCTGGGCACCCCAACAACAGAGGTTTAATAAATCTCAGGGGGGAGGGAAATAATCCCAAAAACTAGAGGGGGTTTTCCATGTTTTTCTCCCAGCAAAGAAGCATTTTCAGCTGATGTTCAATTCCAGCGAGCTCCCCCAAATCTTAGAGGGTCCAGCAAGCCCCTGCAGCAGCAGATGCACACGCAGTTCAGCACGTGCTGCCCTTCAGCCCTGATGAAGCCCCTGCAGGCACGGTGACGGCCACGGCGCCCTGTGGGTTCTGGATTTATCCCTCTGAGCACAAGTGTGGGTTATGCACGGGTGATCCTGTCCAGGCCCCCTTTGCATACCCGTGGCGGTGGTTGCGAGCTGGCTGCGAGGGGAAGGAATCCATCAACTTGCGGAGAAAGTTGTTTAAAATAAATTCCCCTTCCCTAAGGTCTTGCCGAGGGTTTCCTGCCCTCCGAACGCCGAGCTACTTGCCTAGCGCGTACAGGACGAGGGAGCCCAGCACAGCCATGATCTGAGGGCAAGCGCCCAGCATGCCTCTGACCCCGGGGTGGGAGATCTCGGAGATGTAGACCTGGAGCAGGACAATACGCACTTCACGGAGCCGCAATATACAGCCAGCATCCCCAAAGCCCGTACGCTGGTGCCTCGCGGTTGTCCACCGCAACCTGGGGAAACCCAAACTGCTGGGAAACTGCCCGTTTGGGTGGAAACCTGACTGGTCCAGCGCCGCGCATCCCTCCCACACCCAGCGGGGGAGAAGTGCCGCAGGGCATGCCCAGGCTCCCATTGCCGGAGGGACGTACCCCAGGGTTACTCAATTCTTGCCTTCCCCTCTGCATGCAACACGAGGTTGGCGTTTGGTAAACGCGGGAGGAAATAACTGCTGGGAGGAAAGGGGCAGGGATCGA